ATGCTTCACGACAAAAGGCAGTCTGTGGAATACATCGTAGCTGAGCATCCCGACGAACCAGAGGCCAAGCAGCCGCCTCGACGAGTCAAGCTGCAAAAGCCGCTGCGCGGTGCTGGAGCCCGCTGTGTCGAGGTCATTGTGGAGGAAAGCCACGACGCCTCGGCAGCCGACGTCAGCGAGAACGAAGAGGAGCTCGAGGAGCAGCAGCGGTTCAAGCAGTTTATCTCAAGCACCCAGGCCATGGCCTCAGAGGCTGAGGATAAGCGATGCCCGCACGGCGTTCACCAGATGCATCCGTTCTACGACAGCGTGGGCATGACGCTGGTCATCAACGAGCTGAAGCCAGAGCGTATGGTCGAACTGGGCCACAACACACCGTCGGCACTCCTCGAGTCGGGCATGCATGAGCTATTCTGGACGGCCTACGAGCAGCTATCGGATCAGGGCCTGGCCGCCGCTGCGGTGACGCGTCTGTTTGACGACAATGAAGGGCAGTATCGGCATCGCCCCATGCGGCAAGTACAGCCGCAAACCGTCAGCAGGTACCTGAGTCTTGGGACACGCCTGGTCCAATTTTTGCTGCTGCTGGAGGCCATGCCAGCCCCCGATCCGTCCAGCTTTCTGGGCCAGGTGCTTGCCAGCCGTGGCCCTGCGGTAATTGATGCCACCGTGGCTCTGAGTGTGGGCCTGGACGCTGAAATGACCAAGAAAGAGCTGGTTGAGCCCCTCACATCCCTGTGGCTGGCCCTGGTGGAGGTGGAGCTGAGCCTCTTTGACAACGACAAGGTGCACTTTGTCAACGTCTTCCTATTGTGCACGGCCGTGTCCAAAGGAAGCGGCATCCTGCAAGACATCAGGCAGTGGACCACGACGCCCGCTGGACTGCTGTACGTTTTCAAATTGTTCCTGCTTCGCCGTGGCAAGAATGAGTCGTGGTCAGTGGCCAACGAGTTGAGGCCGTATATGCAGCCCGGGCGATTGGTGCATTTCTTGAGCCAGCGCATGAGCATGGCACGAACAGCGAGCGTGGCCGAGGGGCAGGCTGGAGTCGACGTCGACATCCGAGCCGATGGCGACGTGACGGACGAGACGCTGCGCACCATTGTCTGCCGAGGTATTGAGCTCAATGTGGAGGAGCTCGGGGCCGCATTGGAGCAGATGCGCAAAGACATGACGGAAATATTGGACAAGCACCTCTTGCTGGACTCACGCCTGCGGAAAGATTACGAGAAAGAATATGAGCGGCTGCGATTGAAGGAGGATCGGACCAACAGGGTCAAGAACTGGTGGGTGGGCCATGGCAGTCCAGCCGAGAACGCGCTGTTTGATCACATTGGCCAGACCCCGAGTCTGCGGCAAGAGTTTATCCAAACCGAGCATGGGTCCAATGGCGAGCTGACCTTTCGAGAGGACAGGGTGCGGGTATGGCTCCTATATGTGTGCAGGTTCAACGAGCTAGCCCTCACCTACACGCACATTGCCGGAGGTACGATTGGAATCAAGCCGTCTCCTTGAATCAAGCCGTCTCTTTTTTTTTTTTTTTTTTCGCGCCACTCATGCCTGTTTGCATTTGACTAGGTCTGCCGCCACGAGCCTCTGTGTATCAAGGGCTGTCCTACAAAAACGGCGTTGGCCGGCAACGATCTGCGTTTTTTGCCGAGAAGCAGCTCTCCATATTGACCCGCGTGAGCAAGACCTACTGGCTGTCCCTGAACGAACAGCACACCTTTCGATACATGGACCAGGAAATCAGCACGCTGATATTCATGTATTTGCTGCTGTGCAAGCCTCTGGAGCACATGCTGAGCAGCTGGCTGCAAAAGCGGGGCGGGCTGGACACCCCCGACGACGAGAACGGCATTCACAATGCCGAGCAGGACGACGAAGATTTCCTCGACGACGAGTTGGATGAAGACCACATGAGCCACGACGAGACGATGACATTGCGACGCGAGGTCCGGGACGCTCGAAACCACTACAACAACAGCCACCTCCTCTTCAATATTGCGCCCCTGCAGACGATGGTCAGCCCAGCCACCATTTATGCGGCATTTCGTCGACAAATGACCACGTACCTGCATCGGCCAAAGCTGGGGGTGGCCACGTGGCGACACGCCGCAACCTTCTGGATGACGACGTTTGTGATTAACCGACTGTCGGCCGAGACGACCGGCGCCCTGGGCAGCCTGATCCACACTCAAGCTCAACACTCTGGGGACACGGCCCAGCGGGCCTATGCGCGCACAGCGAGTGACCATGTGCAAACCAAAATGTCGTCGCGACTGATGCATCAAGTGGCCTCGCAAAAATGGCATGCTTTGTTTGGACTAGATCGCAAGCGCAGCATAGCCGAGTTGACCGCGAACCAAGAAGCATTGGAAGCTCGCTATCCCATCAGCTGGAACCCGGTGACTGACCTCTCGCCCGAGGCAAACGGGCGTATCATCATGAACACGAGGGCCGAGCATGACGTACCCTACATGACCCAGCTGGCCAAGCAGGCGAGCATCTCGTGGGGCCACAGTTTCAACAGCCAAGAACAGTTGGACCTGGCTGCGGCCATTGACCAGCACCGGCCGGAAGATGGATGGCTAATTGTTGTGCACCGACAGGC